TACATGTCACCATCATCATATATCCATTTTCATTTTACTATAATTATTATTTTAAAAAAAATAATGATAATAATAATTTTTGTTTCTTAAACAATACATGCCCACACCAGTGGGGAAGGAATATAAATCTTTCCATTCCCCACTCTATCCAGTCGGAGCTGAAGAAGCTTCTTGGATGAGAACCGAAACTTCTTCAAAAAAAAAAAAAAAAGCAAGGAAGTCCATTTGCCTCTTGAAAAAATGCACTTTTGGGACATCTGGGTTGTAAGTACCTTTCTTGATTTTATTGTAACTTTAAAAATTTGCTAAGCATCCTGCCATAAGTTGAGGACTACCTCTATGTGGCTGAGCCTTAGGCTAACTCTGCCCACTGCTAGGAGTTCGATCCTGACTGGCTCAAGGTTTACTCAGCCTTCCATTCTTCTCTAAAGGCCATAGTTTGAGGACCCCTGATTTGGTGCAATATAAAAAAAAATGCAAATAATTTTTTTTGTGGACCATCAACATTTTCTCATGGACCACCAGTTGGTGACTGCTGGTGTAGACCATGGCTTGACCCCAGGATACTGTATTGACTACGTCCTTGGTTTGATCCCAAAGCCTTTCCCCATTTATTGACGTCTTTCTCCATCTGAATGAATGAATATTGTGATGTAATGCATCTACTCTCTCCTGCTGCATTTACTTAATGTGGTTGTTGAGCAGCCTCTGGAAAGAGACTAGATGCTCCAAATCCCAAACCACCAAAGTCTCCTCCTCCTTCTCCACCTCCTCCTCCACCTCCTCTGTACCTTCCAACGGACTACTCTGACTTCACTTTTTTTCCTCTCTTTTGCCAGAAGATTTCCAGGCAGGGAAGAAAGAGCACGGTGGTAGACGACTGATTGCCAGCCAGGAAGACTGCCTCATCGGGGAAGCTTGCCAGCTTCTCCTGCTGCTCCAGGTGGGAAGGGAGTCCACAGTTGGGAATTTTGGGGCACTGGGGGCAGGGGGGGGGTTGGCTGATCCCTCCGGTGAAGAATGAGTTCACCCATTTCCGGAGGTGTATTTTTTTTAGAAGTGGGACAGGATAAACCTGGGGAGTGGAGCTGTTTACCCGTTGGCAAACATAAAAGTTTCCAGGCTGCTTTTTAAATATCCGGGCTCTTGAAATCTCTCCTTGCTGGCTGAAGCTGACTTTTGATGGGTCCTTGAATGCCCTCGGCTTCTCTGCTCTCTTCCTTCCCCCGTTCCGCCTTTCCCCCCCCACTTCTGTAAATTTACAGAAGGAGGTTCGTAAGTAAGAAATGAGTGATTAACTTTTCTTGGGAGACCAACTTTCTGAACTTGGATAAATCAACAATGCTAGAAATCAGAGAGAATATAAAGAAGTAACATAGGAGAGGGGAGACTTAAACTACCTGCATTTATTTACAAACCTGGTATTTGAATACAGGTAGCTGCTGTGCAAAGTTGTTAATTAGTAGAAGGGGACATGTCTATAGAGGAGTAGAGTAGAGTAGAATAGAATTCTTTATTGGCCAAGTGTGATTGGACACACAAGGAATTTGTCTTTGGTGCATAT